AAAAAAACTAAAATAATTTTTATTTTCTATTTTTAAAATGTTTAGATATCATATATATTGTCAACATTTAATTTTTGGTCTTTGAAATTTTAAATTTAATTTTGATAAACTTTTTCATAATTGTAACTTATATAAATTAATTTTATTACTAAGCTAATTTTACTAAGATATTTAATACTATTTATTAAAAGTATTAATTTACATATTCTTACGTTTTTCAAAATAGAAATTTTATTCACAAATAATAGTTTCACTAATTTTATTTAAAAAAAAAATAAAAATATTTTTCTACATATATTTTTTAAAAATCGAAATGAGTCTGGACGTAAAAGTAAACACCTCGACTCCAGTCACACTTTGCACTAATTTGTTCTTCATCATCTTGCCTCATTTTGAATGATTTTTCTCAGCACAACACCATCGGAATCGGAGAATATTAGCAGCGCCGGCGCCGGCGAGCTTGGCGTAGGATGCCTTACGGCAGCAGCAGCTTTAGATTGAGGTTGAGAGCTTTACAGACATGGATTCTAGACTATGACAACCTCCAGTGGCTCGCGCTTAGGCTGATCTACTCTCAAATAGGCTGCGCGTTGATTGGATCGCTCGGCCCAATTTACAACGGTGTTTTGCTCGTCGATTTGGGGATTTCGCTGTTTGCGCTCGTCGCCATTGAGAGCAGCAGTCAGAGCCTCGCCAGGACATACGCCTTTCTTCTCTTCTGTTCCATTTGCCTCGACCTTTCCTGGTTCTTCATTTTCTCCAATCATATTTGGTACTAATTTTGTATCCTTCTCTGCAATTCAGTTGTATTAGTTCACTATTAGGCACTCTGGACTAGTATTGTGAATTTTTCTGCTCTGATTAATGCCTGCCCTGCACTAAAAAATCACTGCATTGTGAAAGAATATATCTAGGACTACGGATATGTTGTTTACAAGAGGACATGTTTGATGGGGAATTCATACGGATGAAATTAAGCAATTTATGCTTTTTTTTTTCTTTTAATTTGTGTGTACTTGTTGAAAATTGGGGTTATCTGTTTTGCTGTTAGTAGACACCATGAAATAGATGATTGTGACTGACTTCTCTGGATATAATGTCTGATGCTGAAGTTTACATCTTCCTCGGGACTGCATTGTGATGTGATTTAGTTGGTAACTTGGTATGTAGTGATTTCAAATCTAAGATTTAGTATGTGCACCTTTTCACAAACTTTGAGCATCTCATAGTCATAGTCCTGTTATTTCTGTATGTTTGACACACGACAAATAATTTGGAACAACAATCTGAGAAATTTTATGAATCTTGTGCATCTTCGTCTGTCATATATTTAGTTATATACCTACTAGAATTAGTTGATAAGCAAAGGTCCATGGTGTAAAGTTAACTTCTAATAGTTAATCAGAGTCATTTTTTGTTATTTCATTTTCGAGTGGAGCTATATATCGATAAGTATACTTCAAAAGTGAAAGCTAGAGTTTGATTGAAATTTACAAAATTTTCACTTGTTTTCTATTTTCTTTTGAGTTTTACAAACCTGCAGATTCTTGTTAAATCAAACACAGACACTCGCACACAGTGACACACCATTCATCCATCATACCTGTACACTCGTCCATTACATCCAGTTATATTTCACATTAACTCATCAACCCCACTTATATCATGAATTTTACATCACAAATACGCTATTCACTATTGTTTACTTTTATATCTATAATCACTCACACTCTAATTTTTTTAATAAGAAGTAATTCCATCAACAGTCAACATCATATTTTCATCCAACTTTCTATTACAAAATTCTATTCCCTTTACAATTATGGAAATTATTTTTTAACACTATATTCTCTAGAAATAGAAAGGAACATAATAAAGGTCAAGTGGTCAACTAATCACACCCTAGGTTTTAGTAAGAGATTTTTGAATTTTAGATTTCTCATTTTAACTGAGGAAATCTGTATTGATGTACCTTCAAGTGTCATTTCATTGTTTTATTATAAAAGTTGAGTGGCTGTTTTCTTCTTATTTTATGAGAAAGTTTTGGTTCCGTGTCGGAGGCATAACTAGATGGCATTTGAGCAAAATTTGCCAATATAATGTCCCTGAGCTGTTTCTCTGCATGGTTTCCGGTCATAAGTTTAGCGGTAACAACTTCAGTTCGAGCTATATTCGAGTGCAAAGCTTATTCTCTTTTAATAACTTCATCCAGTTTCACACAATTTGGACTTCAGACACTGTCCAGTTAGTTTATTGATTTTCAGTGGGATTCGTGATATGTTCAGAGCCATTTCATATGTGCAGTTAACAAAACCAAAGGTTCATCAACTCCAAAAAAAGAAGCATAAATAAGTATCCAATTCATTGTTGTAGTTACATTTTTATTGGAAATATAGCTTTCTTAAATCTAAATAAAAAAAAGAAGGGTAAAAAAAAAAAATGATGAAGTTGGGGACTTGGATTCTTGGGGTACTGATGGTGTTAGGAATGGGGTGAGGGAGTGGGGGAGTGACCCCTTTGGGCCAAGGGTGCCTTTTTCCATGAACACGTGAAAATTTAATTGTGCAGAGTTGCTACCTTGTGATTAGGTTCGCAAGCTTCTGCATCCTTGGTTACATCTTTTCGCTCGGAATAATTAATTCAGGTAGGTGTTGGAACTTGTCTCTTCTGGCAATGAACAACTTTAGTTTGTGCTCAAGTTATTGCTGATGTAAAGTTTCTCAGTTGGAATATCCAACTTGGACAACCTTTCTATGCAAGAATATGATCTCGATGCAGCTATCTGAATTCTAAATAAAATTTCTCATGTTAACCCCTCAATCACAAGTGCACCCCATTAACTGCAGTGTCTGAGATTTAATTGAGTTGTCTTGTAATTTGATGCATTGCCTCTGGGAAGCTCATTGAGTATCCTGGCAACATGGTACTTTTACTTGTTGCACTTGTATTCTCTTGGTTCAGTAAGTATTGAACTTGGTCAATATTGCTCGATTCATGATTATTTTTTTCCGACTAAAAAATATATATACACGGATGCAGGACTATTCCATCTGAATTGTATGGTGCCATTGGTATCTTTTTGGTCAAGCTGACCTTGGTCATGCAAATCATTGGATGTTCAGTGAGGCTATCGTCATCAATACTGTGGATTCAGATGTACCGGCTGGGTTCTTCTTACATTGATAATTCTGGTGCTAGAGAAACAGACGCAGATTTGAGAAATAGTTTTATCAACCCTGCTACTCCTATTGTTCGAGTTCCTTCTGGTTGTGATGATGCTATTGGAAGCTCAATATATGATAATGCATATTACTCGTCATTTGACCCTGGCAAGAATGGCACTTGTTCTTCTGCGGTATGCTTCCGCTGCACTATCTTAATTAGTTGCATTCTCAGGTTTTCCTGCATTTAATCAACAATATTACAAATATATGTAGAGAATGTGGAATAAGTAATTCGCTTGTGGTTTTGTTCTTTAATTCAATCTTTGGGTTCTTGAGTAGGTGTGGTGACTGTTATGTTTATTAGAACTGAAGCCTTCCTTGTCCCGACAAAATATAAAGAGAGAAAGTTATCTTAATTGGCTGTTGGACTCTAGAACTGGTTATTGTGTAGCAATTATGCTCCAAGACTTCAAATGCATCGTCTTTGTCCTGTGACTAGTTTGTATACCCGTAAGGTGGATGGGGTATATATATATATATACATATATATATATATATGTATATATATATATATGTATTAGATAGAAATATTTAAAATTATTTCTATGTTTTAATTGTATTCTATGATATAATGTTTTAATTGTATTCTATGATATATATATAATAGTATAATAATTTAACATTTGAAAATTTTGATTAGACATGCTATTTCTTAAATACTAACACTCATGATTTTTACTCATAATATTAGATGAATTATTACTTAAGTTACTATCTTTTAATGTATGAAAAAATTGTGATGAAATGTTGATTTTTCTTTTTAGGTCAACAACTCATGGTTAGATGGGGACATGCTAATTTATCCATATAATCTCATGTACATGGAGTTTAGAAGTGTTGTTTACGGTTAGACAAATACATCAAAATAAGTATTTTACTTTAGTTATTAAATATATATTAATTTATTCTATAGAAAATCTCTAGACCTGTTCTTTATTTTAATTAGAATTGATAGATCAATCATTTTTTTTTTTTTCAGCGTATGATGGATTTATTAAATCATTTTTTATTTTCTTTTTATATATCAGCGTATGATGGATATATTTAATTTTATCTTGGTAACTATAGCAATCACTGGAAACACGAAATCCGTTCAGTGACAACATTAATTATAATGAAATTACATTAAACATATTTCTGTATTCGATACAAATCAATGTAATAACAAATTAACCTAGAAATATTGTTGAATTAATACTTTTCGCATACATAGCCCCAATATCAGTTCCAATATTACCAAAGTTTGAGGGGGAAAATTGTTGTCAAAAGCAGCTAATGAATTGTGCTATCATATAGATGTAAATTCCCGGTCGTATTTGGATCTCTTTACAATTTATTTAGAATCCCATTTCGGGCATAAAGGGAGGAACTTTACGGAGGATTGTTCCAGTTTGAGTTGGTCCACACTGATTCCAAACCGACGGTGAAGCTTTAACTATAAATGAGTTTCAGCTTCAGAGTACCTGGGTTAGGTGGCTATTCCATTGCTGTTTATTTGAAAGACGTCAGATGTGAAGCAAACAATTTGGAGGAATATGATTTTGTACAAGTTTGTTTTGAACTGCCTCCCTAGAATAGAAATGAAAATTTTATCATTATAGTTTACATTCATATAGTTAATTACAACTCTTTTCATTGGTTGGTCTAGCTTTTCTTTTTGTTTTTCATTTTTTAGTTTTAGACAAAATCATCCCATGAAATGGCCGTGTTTTACGCTTGTAGTTGCCACAACCGCTTGAATATGAAATAGACGGCCACCAAATTATGTTAAGATCTATCTGTAGGATCAGGATTTTGCTTGTTTTATTTATTTCAAGCCCGATAGTCCTTTTTCTATGCAAAGTATTGTCAGGCTTATAGTTTTCTAATGTTTTATTTGATGGCAGGTTAGTCCAAATCATCCATTTTCAGTAACAGAATCAGTCCCTACTGCTGAAACATCGCAGCTGAGCCCACCAAATGGTCGGATATCTTCCTGTTAAAGATGTAAGTTTCTCCCCTTTATCAAGTTGCAGTATATATAATGTAGATTGTTACTATGTATATAATGGAGTCTGAAATCTGGAATATTTTCTTTAAAATGATTTACACGGTATTCGAATTTTACAAATGCAAAACATGAAGAGGAATAGAGGTCGAAGAGTTTGATGTTCATAACCGACTTGTCATGAGATACTTTTACATGGATAATTCTACTAGTACAGACCATACACACTATGACATGAGTAGGGGTCCACTTGAATGTTTTATTTAAATGCATTCAACCCTATGTGAATATTTAAACCATTATGTAAACATTGCTCATTTTTTTATTTGCCATTTTTCATTTCTTTGAACATCTCTATTTCTTTTGCTGATGAAAACGAAAGCAATTGCTTTGTTATTGAGCCTTGATCACTATATTTCCAGGATGAGAATGATATGAGAAAGCTCGAGGCAATTTGAAATGGTGACGATGGATTTTTTTGGTGTGGGTTTCCATTCTTCATAATTTTTTGTTCGGTGGAGTAGTTATGTTATCTCAAGTTGAATGAATATATAGGTAGCAAGAATTTGTACATATATTCCTTACTCGATTCCTTTTTCCAGTAAAAATGTCGTCGGGAGAGAAGAATCATCGTTTTTGTAAAGTTGAAAGCGTAGCAAGACTTTGACATATGATTTTTAGGGCATGGTTGGATACAATTATATCCGGTCAAAATGAGTTTTTTTTGTTAATTATGGTTAATTTTGAAAAATGTGATACAGTTTGTTGTTAGTAGGCAAGGTTATCAAAATCGCGACTTTGATTCGTAGAATCCCCGATTCTACGACTCAAACTCACAAAATCGATTCTAAGTCGCTCAAAATCGCAAAGGACTGTAGAGTCATTGCAAAATTGGTAGAATCGTTCAAAATCGTAAAATCGGACTGATTCTACGACTTTGACCGATTCTGTGCAAAACTGAAATTAATGTACTAGAACTAGATTTTAAAATTGGACTGCGTTGGGCACTTGGGCTGTTTTTTTTTTTACACAAATTGGCCCAAAGAAGCATAAAGATTCTCTTCCCTTGGCCCAATACAAACCAAATTATTAAAAAAATAATAAAAACCTAAAAAATCCTAAAATCCTATCCCTAATCTGCTATTCCCGTCTTCCGTCACAACTTCTTCACCTCCATCCCTCAGCGGGCGACCGTCGTACTCCAAGTCTCCGACGTTAAACTCAAATCCATCTCTCTCTTACTTCTTCTTCGGCCTCCAATCCTCCACAGTTCACACGGTTGTAGCCTCCCACAATCCGAACTCCGAGTCCCCGTCGTTAAAATGGCTCGGCCTCGACGCCTGCGTCTTCTTCGTCCGAGCAGTTATGGTGATGGTGATGGTGATTAGTTTATAAATTATGATTTGAACTTGTGTTTTTTTGTTTCACTAGTATGTTATTTCACTAGTAGTTTGAACTTTGAAGTGTGAAATTATGTTATTTCACTATTCACTAGTATGTTTGCCTTTTGGACTTTGGTGATATTGAACATTGGATTCTCTAATTTGTCTATGTATTTGTAAGTGTTAAAATTTGAACATTTATATTTTGAAAAACAAGTGGTGGTTTTTTTAGCATTTTGATACATATTTTGATGATTACCATAAATCTGTTAAAATAATTAATTTTAGATGTTTTGAGTAGAGTCTTACGATTTTACGATTCCGATTCTACGATTTCGATTCTACACCCAGAACGATTCTAGGTAGAATCTCGATTTTGAAAACCTTGTTAGTAGAATCTTGAGTTTATATTAAAATAATATCTAAAATGAATAATTAAAGTTGATTTTATGTAAAAGTAGGAGAATGATGATTTGAAGTGAGGGTTAATTAAAACTATGTTGAGTAGATGAATAACGATTTAAATTTGATGCGATGTGTGAAAATAATTGATTGATATTATTTAATTTATATAGTATTTAGGATAATTGGGTTGGAGTTAAAATTGAGTTAGATTTTGAGCATGAATTGAGTATGAATTGAGTTATTCATATACAAACACACATTTATTGTTGGGTTCTCCGCATCTCACTCGTGTAGTGGCGACAATTGTGAAAGTTGATTTGAGTGAGATTTTAAGTTTATATAGTATTTAAAATATAATGATAAAAGTGGATTTGATGTAAAGTAAGATAGAGGTAATTGGAAATGATGAATAGTTAAAATTACTGAATAAACAGTGAATTAAAGTTGATGTGATTTGAGGATGATTGATTTGTATTATTTAATTATTCTGAAGTTGATATGATGTGTAAAGATGATTGGTTTGTATTATTTAATTATATTAATAATAATGTGAGTTTGAGTAAAAAAAGAAAAGAAAAAAACTCAATCCCAAATACCCCTAAATGGATCATGGCCTCTATAACTTAAAAAAAATAATTCAGTTAGGCTTTTATTTTTGGGAAAAAAAACTTATACCCATATAAACTGTCACGAGTTTAGTTTGGCGTATTATTATAATTTTTTTTTTTTCTTAACAAACTACCATGTGAATTATTCGGGTTTGTCACTTTGTCATATGAAACCTGAATTAAAATAGTTTTGTCAAAAAACAACCGGTTTGTAATGGTAATGTAGGAATTACATATTTAAAAAAAAAAAACAGAAAATAAAATTAAAATGGTTTTGTCAAAAAACAACCGGTTTGTAAAGGTACTGTAGGAATTACATATGTTAAAAAAAAAAACAGAAAATAAAATAAGAATGAAGAGTGGAACTTAGACCTGGAGAACATACTTGCACAGCCTCCGATATCCAACACAGCCGGTTGATGGGAACTCATTCGACGACGACGGTGTTGCAGAACTCGAAAGAACACTGCCCCAGCCGAATCCTCTGCTTTTCGGCTTTCGGGGAACTTGTTGGGGGTAGGCGGAGGGGTCGTCACTTGAGATGGACTCGGAGAAGGCACACTGGAGGATCGATTAGGTGCTGCAGGAGATACCGTCTGAGCCTGTACCGGAGAAGGAGACGGGTTGGTCTCTGGAGAACTCGGTGGCATTGACGAAGAAATGGTTGGAGAGTGTAAGCGCGATGGATGTTGTGACGGGGATGCTTGAAGACTAGACGGAGAATGTGCCGGCATAGGAGAGTGGGTGGTCGGGATCGTGGACGGTGCTGGGGAAGGCGCGCCAAGGGACTGTTCACCGCCGGAATATTGATGCACGGCCAAGAGCAGATAAACAACGGCGAATAGTTTGTTCATTTTTGGAGGATCAAGGATTTTGGAAAAATATTCCGGTGAGTGAATTGCTTTTGGAAAGAAAATTATTAACTGATGAAGAGTTGAGGAGTTGTAGGGTTCTGTTTTTCATTTTTTCATCAATATTTTTATTTTTTATTTTTGGTGATATTATTAGGCATGAACACCAGCACAAAGGAGTTCACATTCTCAATAATCACAAGCAACAAGTTATTCTCCCTATATATTATTCCCGAATGCGCTGAGTCTACGTGGCTGTTTCTGGTGCTTCGAAATCCTACTTGACAAATAATCATGCTTCGTAATTAGGTTTGGACAAATAATATTGATATATTAATAATTAATAATTTAAGTTTAGACATTCCATAAATATTATTTAGCTAACTTAGGTATTTTAATATCACTTATACTAATATAAACATTTATTTCTTTGTAATTTTACATACTGAGGCACTAAGTCAATAATATATCTCTGACTTTTGATTTGTTTCCTTCAATTAGCTATTGAATTATAAATGTATTTTAAAAAGTTGATAACTTTTGTATTTCTTATCGGTTTTAGATATATAATATATCAAATTAATCATCTTTTGATGATCTTCGATTTGACATCCATATTGTATATATGAAATAAATAAATTATATTTATCTTTATAATAATAAAAAATAATAATATTTATTAAAATTCATTAGAAAAATAAAATTATTTCTCAATTGATATATTTATGTTTAATGTAGTTTTATGTTGTAAGTTTAAAAAATTATTATAATATAACACATGTAAGTTGCACAAATAAAAAGTGTCATACTAAATACATAATAAATATATATTTTTATAAAAAATATTTAAATGACCACTTTTTCTCATTAATGGTAGATTTTAAGAAAAAATTAGCAAGCACTCGTGTAATACACAGGGGCGTTGTACTAGTTTTGTAAAATATTTATGCACTAACGTTTTATTTGAATTTATTTCCGTAATTTAATTTTACTATAATGAATAGTATTAGCATGCATTAAATGTTTTTAATTGCATAAATTAAAAGAAAAAGACTATTCCTATAACTTAAGAAAAAAACTATAATAACATTATATGACAACAAATTTTATAATAAAATTATAAATAAATATTATATCGTGAATAAAAATATATAAACTTGTTATTTTTCCTTATATCAAAAAATAAATACATATACTGATGTCAAATTTATATTTGCATAAACGTTTCAGCCGGATAACATATTAATTAAAAGACTAGGTTTAATAAGCTAGGTTTAATGTTATGACTAAAAAACAACGCTAATTAAAAAAGATGACTCATTGTTGACAATTCTCCTGGTATAGTGCTAATAATGGACTAGATTAAAATGACTCAATTAAATTCTAGTGATTCTTCTATTAGTGAAGTTTCTAGAAATATATATATCAAACGACGCAATGCACCTTGGGTCGCTACGGAAACAGCCTCCTTGTATAATTACAAGGTCTGCGTACAACTGACCCCCCAGACCCCAGCCTGTTAGGAATATACTGGGATGTTGTTGTTGTAATTAAAAAAGATGAAACATAGATGATTAACATTTATTATTTTTTACGCCTAAACGGACAAGGAAAATGACATCTCTGGTTTGTGTATCGCATGGGCTACTAATGTGTTAGAATGAATGAAAAAATGGCCTAAAAACTGGTTGATTTCCTAAGTATGTGAATAAAAATTATAGTGATTGACGGAGTTGGAATCAATTTCTC